ACTAAAAATCACATTATTTATATCAAATAAATGCGGTTTTGCTCGAGGGCCAATAATGGTAGCAAATGCATCAAAGCACAAGGATGCAGAGGGTTAAATTACATCAACTCCTTGACAATTTCATTAAGCTTCTTAGCTTCTTAAGCAAAGACTTTATATCATGGACTTATAAGGTAGGCTTCTTATTTTAAAAAAATTAAAAATTTTGAAGTTCCAAAGATATAACGAATTAGTTATTAAAAGTGCAGTTGATCTAGTTTTACTCTATCTGCAATTTGAAAAGAAACCAGTTTGTTTCGTTTTTAAGACCAGCTGGACACATTTTTCACGAGCAGCCCAGTCAAATGTAGGCTATTTAAAACGTTTTACGTGTGTTAACAGCTTATGCGTCGATTCATTTGTTGACTGTAATTTCTACTGCTTGTTTGAAAATGAGCAATCTAATTTCAGTTTCCTAAAATATAAAACAAGATTGATCAAACAAAAAACCACGTGAAGTGGCAGATATTTGCCGTAACAGCATTCTGAATTAATTTGCACAGACTAACATGACCCTCCCTGTAACAGCCCATGCAATAAGTTTATAACGGTTTATGCAGTCCATCAGCTGGCATGGGTATAGCTGATCATCTGGCATAGATGATCCATTAATCACTGCCTGACGAAGTCATGTTTAACAATGGCTTAAAGTGTCATTTGTAAATTAAGATACTTTATTTCTTGTTACGCCTTCATTTTGCGCACTAGCTGACGCTTGTTATGGTTGTTTTACTTGTTTTTTTACGACTTAAAGTCGAGTTTTGCATGAAAGTAGCCATTAAATAGTGAGGACTCTTTACAATGCCAAGACAGATTATTAATTAACCTTTAAAAAAAATAAATAATAAATATATATGGTTATAACATTTGACTTTTTTAGTTAGATTCTTAAGATGTGTCATTTTTATCCTCTCTGACTTTGTCCTTAACTACATACAAACATCTTTTCTCCAACAAGAGATTTAATAATTAGTAATTCGTATTTTTTTTTGTATCACCAAGTTAGACAAACAAAAGTGACCTACTACAAATTTGTGTAAGAAATTAAAAAGCAAAACCTTATTGGCATCACATCTAAAATTACAACTTTGTAGACTATATTCCCATAGTTTCTTAAAGTTGATGCAGTATTGTTTAAAGAAATATAGGAATAATGAAATAACTAATTGGTTAATAACCACATCAACCATATTCTGATTAATAGAGGTCTAAATAAAAGTAGTTGCTTAAATGATGAGGAT